TATATATATAAATCAGGTAAAGCCACTTGCTAAAGGTAAGTACAGTCAAATACTGCAAGCTGATTTTAAACATCTGATCTTTATTTACTGTAGATCATTCTTGACAAAGTTAAAAGTGTCGCCAAGCTTTTAAACGTTCAAACAGAAACATCTCGTTTCTGTTTGAACATCTTGACACTACAAACATAATTAGTCAAACTGCTCTTTGCGAAGGACCCTGCACCCGATTATTGTTTTAAATACTGTTTAAGGTGAATCTGGATGCACTTAAAGAGAATAATGGGGGAAAAGGTACAGAAAGTGCAGGAAGTAGAAATGAAAAGAAGACAAGACAAACAGTAAATGTAAAAAAAAAAAGCTTAACTCAAATTTTCATCCTGATAGTCAAAGGCTCTACGAAGCCTAAATCACAGAAGCTTCTTTTGAGCTAACAATATTACAAAAAAAAAAAAAAAAAAAATAATAATAATAATACTAATAAATAAAAATGAACAGAGTATCTGGAATAAAAGAGAAATAATCTACAAGGGCCAAACCTTTTTTCTTTCACTTATTTCAAGGTATTCATCTGTACGTGTGCATGAGTTTTAATGCGCTGTATGGTGTCACCCGCAGTAATAAGAGACACAGAAGAGTGACGACAGAAACATTTACTGATCCTTCTGTACCTGCATCATGCAAATAGCTGCATTATGTAAATATAATGACGGACATTTAATTATTATATTCCTTCTTTTGCTGCTGGCCAAATCTCAGATTAATCACTAAATATTATTGCATTAAGAATCAATGCTTGTTATTATGACCAAAATTAATGCTAAATAAAGCATAAAATATAGTGATTTGCACAAAATCACACTGTACCATTTACAGTTCAATATTTTTATTTATACGATGTTCTGCAAACCTGAAACTTATAAAGGTACATCCATCCAGCCATCCATTATCTTTACCCACTTCTTCCTTTTCAGATTGCGGGTGTCACTGGTGCCCATGTTAATTTATAATATATTTTAGTGCCCATAATTAATATTTTAGAAATAGACTACAGTGTTAAAATTCTTAGTTTAAGATTAATTTTGATTTAGTTTCATTTTAAAGTAAAATTCTGTGAAAAGGTTATGAACAATTAATATCTTACCTGCTGTAGATAGCTCTTTAAAATACCTCAATTTGGAAAAATAGTTTATTTCTGAACAAATAGATGAGCTAATATCTAGACCAAAGTTGTCTCCCACTATATTAAAGCACCTCCAGTCCCAAACATTACACAGCTGTTCACACAAACACTATTTTAAAAACCTTTACGCTGCTGTCAGTTTTACATTGCTCAGTTACTCCAGTAGCCATTTTACTGATATTCCTGACAGAAGTATTCCATCTAGCTACACAGGTGTTGTCTGCACTTGCAAATTATCATAACTTCATGTGAATTACTGTGTAATAAAACATAAAAAAAAACAACCAAACAGCATTTACAGGAACTGCTTATTTTTTGTTTCAAGACTGACACACTTTCCTTTGATCTTGACACACTCCAACTAGCCATTAGCGTACCTGTCTGGTCAGAATTAGACCTATTTTTCCAAACAGGTTGTTCGAAGAACTACATACAAAAGGTCAATTGCTTATCAATTTCAAAGAGAATCCTACTTCAAAATGTCTGAAAATATATATTTTTAAATCTACGTTATTACACACAAAAAGTGTGTACATATTCATTACAAAAAGATCTTATGATCTACATTTTTAATCAGTTTTGTCTAGTAGTTTTTCCTGCACCTAACTGCTTTGTCAACAAGATCAGGTTTCAGATGTGTGTGTGTGTGTGTATGCATTTGTGCAGATTGCAGAAGGACTGGCAAACCCTCCTGTGGTCCCTTACTTCTGCGGCCTGACACGAGCAAATAAAAGAAAAAGGACTCACTACCACTCCACTATCACTTCACTGGACTGCACGACAAAAGCCCATCCCTTCATCCCCGCGGTCGGAGAGTGAGAAGAGAGAAAAGCGCTCACCACCACCACAACCACCACTAACAGACAATGAAGAGAACACCGCTGGGAGGAGGTGAGAGGAACGGGGGAGGTGTAGAGGGGAGAGAGGGTGAGGAAGAGTAGTGGGAGGAGGCAGATTTTAACAGATGAGATAGAAGTTCTCCTCCCCAGCGATGGGGAGGCTTTGAATGAGGGGGGGAAATAAGTAAGAGTAGAGGATTTATTATAAAGGTGGGGAGGGAGAGAGAAAGGTGAGGTGGTGTCTGAGGAGGGTAGAGGGGTAAAGTGAGGGGGAGGGGTGCGAGTCTACCTTATAGGCGACCCGGGCAGGACACCTCTTCCCGAGGCCTAGCGGCGGACACATGTGTCTTAGCATCTGATACATGTCTGTGTAACTGATCCGGCCGCTGGGGTGGCCACACAAAACACACACACACAAGCGCGCACACACACACACGGGCACACGCATTCATCACCCGCACAACAAACAAAACAGAGACGAACGACGTGAAAATGAAAGAAAGAAAAACAGTGAAGGGGAGGAATGGGGAGTGTTACAAGACACAGACGCACAGAGGTGTGTTCGGGGAGAGTAAACAAAAGGAGAAATAAAAGAGGCCGACAAAAGAAGAGGAAGGGAGGGGGGACAAATACACAAAGGTTATTGTTTTGGTCACTGTGGATATGTGGTTGCTGTGGTGAGAGAAAAGGAGATAGAAAGAGAATGATAGAAAACAACTGGGTGTCTTATGTGCCCTCAAGTCTTGTATATCAATAAATTAGGGAGGTAAAGGAAGGAGGGTCGGGATCAGGCAGGGAAGGAGGGGTTGGAAGAAGAGGTGTAATTTATGTGAAGTTAGTATCGTTGAAATACCGTTCTATGCGAGGTGAAAAGGGGGTTTGGGATTTCTTTATTTGCCCAGTTTTGTTGCTCGGATAGAACTGGCAGCGGGGCTTCTTGCAGGCAAAGAAAAGCACCGCTGCAGAGATCGGAGTGAGTCTCTGTGACAAGTCAATGCAGTCTGTTACTGAGGCTGGGTGTCCACCAGTGGCCTCTGAATGGAGCTGCACTTCCAGATGTTTATGAGAGTTCTCTTTGAAACTCAGAAAGGCTGTGATACCCTGCTAAAATCTCAACTTTTTATAAAGTCCACTCACATCACTAAAAAAATTAAAATCTTTGCCACATACATTGTGAGGCGTGCATGTATTGAAAATGCATTGCCAGTTTTTCACTTCAACGCTTTATGCATGCTGTGCCCTTCTTAATGCAGGAGCAGCACCATAAAGTGGTAAAAGTGATTAAAAAGAACATCATTGAAGGCTGTTGAGACTACCACCACAGGTCTGGTCGCATAGCTCAGAAATAACTGTGTCTGTTGCAAAGAGGCACAGCAAGGGTGGAAGCAATGCCTCTTCCTGTGCAGACATGCACAAGAAAAACACACAGCAACAGAATTCTACAGGTACAAGCAAGCTGCTGTTTTTTTAAACCATTAAATAATACAACAGAAATAAAAGTAAAAAGAACAGACGTTGTCATAACCAGGATTTCTCCAAGAATATCTCTCAGTGCAGTTGTCATCACAAGGTAACTGGTGGACACAAGGCCCCCCTGAGTCTTTGCCCTAAACCACACACACCCTGCCCCCTTTCCCTCTGTCTCAAGATACAAACAGAGCAGGTTTGGCCATGTTATTCTAGCATTATAAATATCAATAAATACTGTAATTGCCGGTGTAAAAGCCGCTACTTTTTCTTACACTTTGTACCCCGTGGCTTATATACAGGAACATCTTATTTATGTATTTTTTTTATAATTTTTAAAACTTAAATATTTAAATTTAATTTTGAGGGACTTCCTCTGTTTCTCAGTAGCTTCCTGCCACTGACCAACACTTTCCTTTGACAGAGCGGGGCGCTCATGGCTCCCAGCACCCCGCCCCTCATGGGGGCAGGTGTTTGTGACACAGAGAGAATGCCCTCAGGTAATCAGACATACGAGGCCTTTTGCTCACGGTTTCAAATACCCAACCATAACTCCACCCACATAACTCCGCCCACTCTATCATCATGTGACCAGAAGTCTAACCTGAATGACCAATGAGGAACTCTCGAGGACCATCCCCCAAGATAGACGTGAATTAATTTCTTCAGATCGTTCCCGTGTTGTTTATTGTATTTTGCGCTTCATGGACAGGCCAGTTCATTTGTTCAGCGATAATGGAAAATGCAGAGAATTTCTTATGACACAGCTTTCATGTTAAAAGCGATCGGATGTCGAGGAGGAAACGGAGCTGCTGCCCGTAAGCTGCATCAAGTCGAGGGAAAGCAGTCAAGTCTGGTATATGTTTTAATAAAAGTTTTAAATTTTTTCAGGGTGACATCTTTCTGTTTCGGTAAATATGCATTTAAATACTGGGATCTCATTTTAAAGTCGCATCCGAACACAAAGCAAAGAAACAGAAGGAGTCTTCCCCCCTCCCCTTTCCGTCATGAGGGCTCAATGGTGGAGAAGTCATCAGATTTATTTTTAAAGCAGCTAGTCAGTCAAGACTGATACATGTTTAAATAAAAGTTTAAAAAAAATCTTTGTGTACGGTAAATTTGTGTTCAAATACCAGTATCTCATTTAAGCTTAAACAGGGCCATTAAATAAAATGGAGACAATGGGAGGGGAAAAAAAGACAATGGGGAGGGAGGGCTGTTATTCCTCATTTGAGCAGTGCTGAGGAGAATCACGTCAAATTTATTTAGAAAGTACATTTAAAAACAGCAGTTGTTAACGAAAGTGTTTAACAATAAAGACCAATGGTACTAATTTAATGAATATTTACAGCATTCTGCAGGTACTATTTGATTTCCAGTCACGTAACCTCGATAAGACTTTTTGGTAATATTTACTGGGAAATTATTTTTAATAATTTCAGTTACATAGGTGTTTGGCACTGTTCTGTCCAGTGATTATGCTTAGATAGTTATTGTGTTCATTTTGAAGGTATATGACGATCTTGTAGTCTGACCGTGTGTTGAAAGCAAGCTATATTCTGTGAAACGCCATCTGCTGGCTGGTTCTTGTACTACAACAAGAAAGCTGCACACAGCTGGAGCAGGCTGGGGGCACAGTTCCTGACGATGAACGGTGGATGTCCGCGGCTAAATAACCGGAGCGTCTTATTTATGTACAAAATTATGATTTATTGTCTAATCAAAAGTGCGGCTTAGAGACAGGTGCGTTCCAAAGCCCGACAATTACGGTAAACTGTTCCCTACATTTTTGAGTTGGACAACAAAACTGTTAAGTTGTATTCAGGCTCTATGTCTATGTATTAAGTCCTTCAGGGATGAGTAATGTCAGTATGACTCTGGGATGGAGTGGTAAAAATTTAAAACAGTAATGGAAAGTACAGTAGTCCCTCGCTACTTCGCGGTTCGACATTTGTAGACTTGCTCTTTCACGGTATTTCAAAGTAAGATTATACACAAGAAGAAAAAATGTACACAATACACGATTGTCAACTTTAATATTACTGATTGGGACATTATGGGACACAGTAAAAAGTTGCCAAAAAAAAAATTTCAGACAGGTACCGCCACTTTGTAGTTTTCTCTCAAGAAGCCTACACTGTATCACCATTTGAAAGGACTGCATTTCCCAGAAACCAACAGTGTCCTGCCCAGAAGCCCCAGCAGTGCTTCCAGCCTTCTGCTGAAAAGGAGGGACTTTTTTTTTCTCCGGAGCTCACCGAGACTTATTTCATCTGGATTTGGACTCATTCGGGACCATTGTGTAGTTTTGTGCTGGCTATCCGAAGGTTCACCTTTCTCTAAAAGCGTCTTGGTGCTCAAGGGCAGCAGAAAATCGATCAGAACCAGACCAAGCCTGTTTAGTACCCATATAAAATTTTGCATTATGTAGCTACTGTGCAGTAAGTACATATGTATGTAGTTAAAATTGCAAGGGTTTATGAGTTAAGAACATTGCAAGAGTGTGGGAAGGATTTATAAGTCTTAAAATATATTAAAAAATTCTAAAATAAATTTGGCATTCCTACTTCGCGGATTTTCACCTATTGCGGAGGGGTCCGGAATGTAACCCCCACAATAAACGAGAGACTACGGCACTTTTATTTTACACATTATATTAATTTTAAATAGATACATGAGCTTAAAACCACAGCAGTAAGTGGTATTTATTATTACATAACTAGTGATTGGACAGCTTAGTACAGCAGGTCTTTAAGAATTACAACTGAATATATATATATAAAATTAGCAGTTTTCCATTCTAACTGTATATAACAATATTAAATGATACTAAATAATTGGTTTCCAGTTGAGTTGCTCAGTGCAAAAAACCCTCCAGATTATTGGAGTTCCGTAACAAAATGCTGAAAATAATACGGACCAAGCTAACCGCTAAAAAGGTTAGTGGTAACAATACTGAGACCAAACCTGCTCTGTATGTCTCTGTGACCCCCCCCCCCCCCCCCAAAATCAAACAGAACAATGCACATTGCTCAACCATTTTCTGCCCAGACAAAAATTAGACAGCAAGCAGAAATAAAAGACAGTAATTGACTGGAGTCTAAAATGTGTTCTCAACATATGACTAAAACAAAAGTAAACACATTAGTGTCATTTTTACAGCAATCAGTCAGAAGACAATAGCAAGTGCAGTGTACTAATTCATGCTTCACACACCACTATCGGTGCACTCGTGGGTGTGTGCAAGTGTGTGTGTGTGTGCGTCTCTGCATTGTCCCAAACATTCTTATTGTCATGTCAGAATGCATAAACAACAGACCACCTCCCATCCCCCTAAAAAAAGAATGATTCAATGGTGAAATGGGCTTAAAACAATTGAATAATGCAAACCTGAACAGAGAATTCAAACCAATGGAAATAAAAACAAAAGTAATCATAATTTATCTTAAAAGTGATAAAGAGCAACAATCATTCCAGTCTCTTAAAGGCGAGCAGGTTGCATTTAGGTTTGTGCTTTATGGGTTTGGTTCAAACCTTGCAGGCCACCCTATGTGGGCATTTCTTGCCAAGGCCCAGAGGAGGGGAGATAACTCGCAATAAACTGTACATATCCTTATATTGTATGCGTCCACTGCAACAAAAAAATACAAGGAGGGGAGTTAGGTAAGGGAGCACACAGAGTACATGAAGAAAAAAATAAGAGTGGAACAGGAGAAACAAGAAAACTTAAAAAGTTGAGAAGAAAAGAGAGTTTATTTACTCAGAACAAACATTCTCACGTTCTTTCAGTTCTTTCAAGTGCGCACACACAGGCACGTAAATTAAAAACCAGAGAAGGGGAGGGTAACATTTATATCTTGAGGCGCAATTTGAAACAGATGGCGGCAAAGTTCAGGAATAAAAGGGCACATTGTAGGAAAGGCTGGGAAACATTCAGCTCAGGTGACCATCTTTAACGGTCCAGCTTAAAATTTTATTTTGACACCATGTTTCATCACCGCACTTCCTGGATTCATCCTTTGCCCCATTTTGGGGCAGGAGAAAAAAGTCAGACGTTAAGTATTGACATTCAATGCAAAAAGGTACAAATATGTGCCCACGTTGTTAATGTTTTCCACCTCTGTTTTTATTTAAGATTTCACATGAATTGTGTGAGTCAATGCGTGCGCCACTCACCAGGCAGCAGGGTCGTACTCAGCCCATATCCTTACGTACTCGTCCAAATGATGCGGCCCCAGGATAGAGGAGTCTCTGGTCAGGTACTCAAAATTGTCCATGATGACAGCCACAAAAAGATTGAGCATCTAGAGGCAAGACAAGTGGTTGAATTGCTTTTTTTTAATATACCCCTAAATAAAACTCAGAGATTAGTTTAAGTCACGTATGATTTCTCACCAGGAAAGAGCAGAGGAAAATAAAGGAGACAAAGTAGGTGTAGGCGAAGGTGCTGCCACATTCCTTCCCTGTGTTTCCTGAGTCCGGGTCGCATTTCTTCTCACCAAGGCAGGACAACATAATATCATGCCATGCTTCACCCGTAGCACTCCTGCATGAGAAGATGCACAAAAAAGAGTCAGCAGCCATGAAAGAGGGACAACTGTTCCTTCATACATGTCAACATTTTATTAAATAATCAAGAAAGGGAGATTCAGAATCAAGATAATGCCAAAAATTAGAGACGTGCTTACCTGAACAGCAGCATTAGGGCCATAATGAAGGTTCTGAAGTTATTATGCTCATTGATGGCACTTTCACTATCGTCATTAATGTCTATGTTTCCAAACAGCTAAACATACAGGGGGAGTGGAAAAAGAAATTAACTTTACTAAAAGTATCCACACTGCATTCACAGAATCTTTATATTCACCAAATTAGTAGCTTATTAATAGAAAACCAGGCTTACCGAGCTGCTTATTACAAACCGAGGCCAAACAATCCCAGATGGGAACATGAAACTCTTTTTATGTGAAATTAGTTGCTAAAATTTAGTACATTTGACAAGAAGAATAGAGCCAGAGATGTGTGATGCACATTGACCCATACACAACTATGATTTTTAAATTTTTTTTTATTAACAGACCCTTCTACTTCTAAAACAACAGTTTGGATTATTTGAAGTGATTCTTCCTAGAGCCGTTTACCAAAACCTTATCTGCAGTAGAAATCATTCAGACTATTATCTGTCTGAAATATCAGGCTGTCAGGAGAGGCGAGCTAACAGCTAATCTGTGCCAGGCTCATTTCAAAACACATTTGTGTCGTCTTAAAATAATTTAGATCTGAAACGTTTCATGTGAATGCTATTTTATTAGTCTTTAAAAAAAAGACCTACCATTTTAAACAGCCATGATTTTTACATTAGATGATTGTTAAAATATTAACATGGAAGACTATATAGTTGTTTATACTGAAGACTGGGCCGATCCGTGGTCTATGACAATTCACTTCAATTCAGTTTATTTATATAGTGCCAAGTTACAACAGAAGACATCTCAGGGCACTGCACAGCAACATTCATATATATAAAATGTAAGTTAATAACATTATTTATCTGAGGAGCAGACTGCTTTGAATTTAACTCCATCGCAGAACTCTCATCTTGAGCAAGCACAAAGGCAACAGTGGAAAGGAAAAACTCCCTCATGAGGAAGAAACCTTTAGCAGAACCAGGCTCAGGACAAGAGGTCATCTGCTTCAACCAGCTGGGTTTGAGAGGAACAGATACACAATGGCAGGTCGAGAATCACGTTAAGATACAACTGAATAGTTTTCATTTGACGCTATTTCTATCAATTAATTTTAAGAAATGAGGTAAATTTGTCCTCTAGTAGTCTAAGCCTATAGCAGCATAACAAGCCAACCCTAACTATAGGATTTATCAAAAAAGAAATTCTTAATCCCAGTCTTAAAACTGGACAATGTGTCAGCCTCATGGACAGAAACTGGAAGTTGGTTCCACAAGAGAGGAGCCTGATAAGTGAAAGATCTTCCCCCCATTCTGCTTTTGGAAACTCTAGGAACCGCAAGTAAGCCTGCAGACTGAGAGTGAAGTGCTCTGTTAGGAAAATATGGGACAATAAGATCTGTAATATAAGATGGAGCTAGGTTGTTGAGGGCTTTGTAGGTTAAGTAATGTCCGGTAATGGTATATGTGCAACGTATGCTGCAAAGTGCCACTGCAAAGTGCCACATATTTATCATAAATGGGGGGCGGGGGGGGGGGGGACAACTGATGCAAAAGTAACAAATCAATAACAAATATATTTTATTATTAATAGCAATTCAAGCAAATTATATTTTATTTAATTTTACGGCACAGTACTTTTCCATCAGATAGTCACTTTGCCCCTTTACATTTAATAACGTTCCATTTGGTAACATAAGCTTCACATGAACTGCTGCTAGAAAAAATATTGGAAATACATTTAAACATCTCCAATTTAGTCCTCCTAATGAATAACAAGGGAACAAATTTTATAAAATTGTATGCAACATACTCGGAATCAAATGTATTTCATGAGAAGGTGAAGAAAATATTCTCAAGTGTGTTTCAAGTTTAAAGTTAATGGCTCCTCTAACTGATGATGTGTATGGGATTTTGTGTTTTTTTTAATTTCCTTTTTGTCTAACAAGTCAACTGTTAAATAAATGCAGACTGATACATCAAGATGGTTTTAAAATGTAAAAATAGGTATGAAACATTAATTTTCAGGATGCTCAGCAATACTCACCTGCATGCCAATGATGGCGTAGATGAAGAAGAGCATGGCAATGAGCAGACACACATATGGCAAAGCCTACCACAGTGGAGACAGGAAGTGATTGTCAGTGTCATAAGGTGTTTTTGACTCAATGTTATTTATGTGAATCTGTGAATGTCTGAATACCTTGAAGGACTGGACAAATGTCCATAGAAGGATGCGGATAGTCTCTCCCTGTCTCAGGAGCTTTATGAGGCGAGCTGCTCTGAACAGCCTCAGGAAGCTTAAGTTGATAAAATTATTCTGTGGCACAAGCATGACACATAGTGAGTTTCACAAATCTTCACAATCTACCTTTTCTCTACTGTAATAAATATAAATCGAAACAAAATAAAATCAAATTGAAAAGATGGGGAAAGAAAGGTCAAAGAAAGTAGTCAAACCTAACTAAACTTATCCAACTGCAAACATAAAAGCCTTCTAGTTGCTTCAAATGTAAACTTTAAATAAGAGATAGACAGAGGAAAGGTAATCAAATCATTGGACAAAGAGAAGGACGCATAAAAGGAAAACTATAATAATAATTAAAAAAAGTAAAAGTCATCATCCAATCTCAAAACTTTTTTTTTTTTAAAGATAACCAAATGCACTGATCGCTGAAGAGCAAGCAGGCTATACACAAGCTGGGGCACGAAAAACTTTGTCTGTCAACCACACACACACACAAACACAAACACACACACACACACAGACACATTGACAGTGTATTCATCACAACCAAGAGCATGGGTTGGGATTACCTGTGAACTAAATGTAACACTTTCAAATCCATTGTTGGTGTAACTTTTTAAAGTACAATCACACCAAGAGTCAGTCTATATGAAATAATGCAAGATCAAAGCTATTAGCTTTAGTAAAAATGCTGGGGAAGAGCATAGCAATCCCAGTAAGTTCAATCAAAGTCAAGTGGACAGCTTTTTTTTAAAAATTTTGATGATGTTTCGTTTCTTTCCAAAAGAGTTTTTAAAATTTAGTTTCAGTTCAATATCAAAAAGAAATCCAGCTGCCTTTGACTGAATTAACTAGGGTTAGCTTAGCTACTTTAGCCAGCAGTTACTTCGAATTGTCACCAATATTAATTTTGCACAGCATCCAAACTGAATCAGGTGCACACATCCAGTGGTCAACAGACAAGGTCATAAGAAGAGCATGAGAGGAAGGAGGAGGAAGAGGAGCAGGGAGGGGTTAACATGCAACCTCAGTGCAGTCATGGCATGGCAGCAGACCTTTTCAGAACTGGTCTACATGCAGACCAGTAGGGGACATTTGGGCGTGGCATATTGGAAACTATAATCAAAACATTCACCTTTTTGTTGCATTACAAGTCGAGATGACAATTTTAAAAGATAATCATAAATCTGCCAGGTTAAGGTCATTTTATTCTGTCCTCATGATAAAATACATGTACAATGTGTGCGTTTGTAAATCTTCAACATGCTCGGAGCTCTACATAAAAAAAAAAGAGCTAAAGAAAAAAATAAACGTGGCTTTATTCTTATAAAGAATCAAGTTTTCTAGATACCAAACCTTTTAGTTCTGCTTCTCAGATGTAGGCCATTTTTTGTGAAGTTTCTGAAGGGCTTTTACCATCACTGTTAATGATTTAGTGGGTTCTCAACATACCATTTCTGCTTTTCTACACTATGAAACAATTAAATAAAGCTCTATTGTTGCATCAGCAGGTCATTGTTATAGATGGATAATAATCAGCCACAGTCCTATAAAGCTCAACAAAGACTCTGAAAGACTTCAGGCCTGTTGCCCTGACTTCATTAGTGATGAAGTCATTCTAAAAACTGGTCCAGGCGCCCCTCTTGTCAAAAGTTGAAGATCAGTTGGACACATTTCAATTTGCTTATTGTTCACATAGAGGAGTGGCGGAAGCAACAGGAACTCTTAAATATGATTTTAGAACACCTCGAAGGTACAAAAACATTTATAAGATTGCTTTTTATTGACTTTTCATTGCTTTAACTGTATTCAGACCCACATTTTGGCAGAGAAATTACGTCTGCACAATCTCGACTCTGGCTTCATATGCTGGCTTGTGGACTTTTTAACTGTTTGGTCTCAGTGGGTGAGGGTCAACAAGGTTCTCTCTGATGTCCTGTCCTCTACTGGTTCTCCTCAGGGCTGTGTACTTTCCCCACTTTTATTCATTTTAATACAAACAGTTGTCGCACCCATTTCCCACAGCGGCACATCTTAAAGTTTGCTGATGACTCTGTCATTTTGTCCTTTCTGAGCAGTGATGACCCAGACCCTAGGCCTGTGGTTGGGGACTTCACTGAATGGTGTGAGTCTTCCTTTATAAAGCTAAATGTTTATAAAACAAATGAGATGGTCATTGATTTTAGAAAAGACTCTTCAGCTGCAGCTCCTGTGGTCATTAACAGTGACGCTGTTGAGGTGGTGCATCAATATAAATACTGGGAACTGTTCTTGATGACAAACTGACCTTTGACCCCCATGTGAACTCACTTTGTAAAAAGACCCACCAGAGAATGCATTTTTTTCAGAAGCTCTGTGGTTTTAATGTTGATTCTAGTTTTATGAGAATGTTTTGTTCATGTTTTATTGTCGCTTTTAACTTTTACCTTCATCTGTTGGTTTTGGACTTGACTTGCAAAAACAGGAATAAACTCTCTGAGATTCAAATTCTAATTCAAATTCAAAAACACTTTATTAATCCCAAAGGGAAATTATTTGTTGTTGCAACTCGTTATCCTCATTTCATTAAGAGATGTTATAGATACTGATGGCTGTAGACAGGAAGGATCTCTTGTCAGATTGTCAGGAGGTGCAGCAAAACTGCTGATAAAGCCCTACAGAACCTCACTGACCTACACAAGGCGAGGTCAGTTAACAAGGCCAAGCTGATTCTGGCAGATCCTGTTCACCCACTCCATGGTGAGTTCAGGTTGTTTCCATCTGGATGCAGGTATCTGCTGCCCAGATGTAGGATGAACAGATTGAAAAACTCATTCATCCCTGTAGCGATCAGGTTTCTCAACGAACGATGATGTCTGTACTGTTATTTTAATTATTAGTTATTTTAGTACGGGTGTTTTTATGTGCCTACTGACTGTGAAACAAATTGCCCCCCTGGGGATAATAAAGATTCTTGAACTTGAACTGAGTTGAGAGTAAAAAAAAAAGCTAAAGAACAGCTTAGATCTGTTGGAAATACTGACCCTTTTGTTATGAAGCATCCTTTTGTTTTATTGATTATTCTAAAATGACTAAGAAAACAGCTTATTACATTGTTCTTATTTACTCAGCTTTTATTGCACAACAGCTCATGTACATTAATTTCTTAGATAATAGGAACTACATTTGAGCTGCTGCAAACTTGCTTTGCGACAAAAAAACTATTTAAAATGATAACTCCTTTATTTTATTTATTTTGCACAAGCTTGGATCAAGTAACATATTTTTATTTAGGATGTGCTCACATGAAGTTGATGATACATTCTAATGTCATGAATGAAAAATTATTTTCTTTTATTAAAAAAAGACAAATAACTTTATTTAGTATAAATATGATAATCAACCTCTCCCTGTTCTTAAATACAAAGAGTTTAAAACGTCTCATCCAGAAAGCGCATGCACTGGGGAGCGAGGGTTGAACCTGGACACGAGGGACTGGGTGGGTCGGGGTAAGAATGAATCAGGGAACAACATAGCCAATGAGGATGCAGCAGGAGGCTTTGAGAAATAAATTACAAACCAACCAGATTCTACATGTGCGAAGATGTAGAAAGATGAATGGTGAGGATTTTGTTTTTGTTTGTAATTTTGTTTAGTTGAAGCAAATTGTGGGTTGATTAGATATATATTTTAGGGAGGAGGAGGTGGTGGTTGGTTGTGGGTTTTATTGGGCAAGGGGCACATGGGGCGAAACACACACCATCACCATCATCATCATCACAGTACCACCACCACGTCATGGTGCAGCATGGATGGGAAACACAATGGAGGATTTCATAGTGCATTTTGATTGGATGGATTTAATCAGAGAAGGAGGAAGTGGAAGGGGGCGTAGGGTGCCAACAAAGTAGATAGGATTAAAGAAAGCATGTAAAGAGATAGAAGAGGAAGACGGGATCATTATAGGCATCGTTAGAAAGTACTGAAAACAACAACAACAACAACAACAACAACAACAAAAGCTTCAGCCTCTCCTTAATGCCACCTTCATTAAAAAAAACAACCAATTTCACTGCCTTCTTTGTTCCAAAACAATCACATAAATTAAAAAATATCCATCCAAAATTGTAAATATTGTTTTCTAGTTGATAAAATGATAAATGACCCAAATTAAGGTGCGGTAGGACCACCTTTCTTAATGCTACTATAACAAACAAACAAACAAACAAACAAACAGAAAACCTAGTGAAATATGTCTATATATAGTGTTTTTTTTTGAAAATGCTACAAAAACATATAAAGTCAATAAAATGAAAATAAGAACAAATAATGTGGAACAAAGACAATAAAAAAAATACCATAAAACAAAAACAGTAGAGTGAGGATCCATGTGAAAGCCAATTATAAAGAAAATTAAAAATATGAAGATGCTACATTTTAATTTTGGCAGATAAGCACAATTAATTTCATCTTAAGGAGCTGCTGGTTTTGTCTTTTTGCTAAAACATGTTGACGCAACAAGTCATCGTAACACCTTAAACAATTCTTAAGGAGTTAATTATTAGAAGGTTTTAGTGCTCTGAACTAACAGTTTAGTGTTTCTAATGTGTAAAGTAACTAACAAAAATCAATCATGTCTAAAATGAAGTAACATGGGTGTCAATTAATGTCTGTCCAGGCTGCAAACATCCAATAATTAGCACCTTTAACGTGGCCGGAGGGCGCCATTAATCATCTGACAACACAATCAGATCGCAGGACTTTGAACAACTACTGCTCATCCAGTCAGTGTCAGGGAGCAAAACACTGGAGTGCAAGATTTTTTTAAACTGAAAACTTGATGATCCTTAGGAGGTGAAAAGTAGAGAGAGGCTGAAACTGATTCTGAATTTCACAAAAAAATTATAATATTTTATGACCATTTATAATGTAATCACACACACAACAGACATGCACACAAAAATCACAGTATAGACTAAGGCAAGTTTAAAGACAAAACATATGACTTGTCCTAAGTCATGCATGAATGAAATATATTTTTTAAAAAGTACATCCATCTAACAGCAACTACTTAAATAGCCCATTTCTTCCTAAAGTCTTTGAGTTTATTGTAGTATGTGTATAAATGACCCATTCTGATTAAATATTTGGGTTATGAGCAGACATTTCCAATAATCCTTTTACTCCCCCCCCCCCCTTTTTTTTTTTCAGAACATTTGGGTGTTCAGTAGATGGCTGCTTGCTTCAGTTGACAACATTTTAAAGCCAAACTCTTCTGTGTGCAGGGATTCATATAAATACATGATGTAAAGGTGACATCTAACAGATTGAACATACAGTAGTCCCTCAATTATCACGGGGGATCCGTACCCTGAAACCCCGTGATTAGAGAAAATCCGCAAAGTAGGAATAGTAGGACAAGTAGTAAGCAGTAGTTTGAGTATAAATAAACAATAGAATAATTAATATAATAATTGAATTGTGAAATAATTCTTTGTACTGTATATATATATGTATCTGCTTATATATATCTGTAGAGCTTTATATATGTAAAGA